CTGCCGCTGCCGCTGCTGCTGCGGCTGCTGCTGCGGCTGCTGCTGCGGCTGCTGCTGCTGCTGCCGCCGCTGCTGCTGCTGCTGCTGCTGCTGCTGCTGCTGCTGCTGCTGCTGCTGCTGCTGCTGCCGCTGCTGCTGCTGCTGCTGCTGCTGCTGCTGCTGCTGCTGCGGCTGCTGCTGCTGCTGCTGCTGGTGTGGGTCAAGTCAAAACACAATTTGTGTGATGACCAAATCACACACCAGAGGGGAAAGAGACGACCATGTTTCGACAGTCGACTTGATAATGGTCGAGGACCGAAACGTCATCGTGTCCTCATCTTCTGTCGTGTGTGGTTTGGTCATCATGTCTTCAGCCACGTTATTGTGACTCATGGTCTCCACAACTTGTGTGTTTCGTGTAAAGTGATGCTTCTGTATATCTTTGGAGAGTTGTAGAGGTTGTCAGGTTTCAGGCCGAGCACGAGCTAACTTTCATGGTAGAGAGCACGAAGTTATAAGGTTTTGTTGGAAAAATAACTATGTTTGGTTTTCCAAAAATATTATTTTTTTTAACCCGTTTGAGTTTAATTAGTGCAACATTTGGTGTTTAATCAATACTCACATTCACCATCTAATTTGTGAATGACTTGGATGAACGGCTGACCTTTTTTTTTTAATTAATGTTCTTAGTTCCATCTAATTCATGCACTGTATAAACGGCTACATATAGTCTAGGTAACTAGGTGATGCTAGAAATATGTTTCCATCTCGCAGGATGTTTAGTCATACAGGGTCACTATGATCAGCAGCTTGCACTGGCAAACTTTGGGGGAATTATTTAGGTATTATCAAGAACCCGAGAGTAGATAAAGTCGATCCAAACTCCAGATATACCTCATTCAGGCGGGTCTGAAGGGTCTAATATTAGGACATTCAATAATGTAGTGTGTGTTTGAGGTCATGATCCTGTACTTACAGAGATTGCGCCTGAAGTGCTCAGGGTTGAGAGATTCATCACCTGTTGCCACCTGCCACAGGTAAAGGCAGACCAACCTGATCCTGGCAACCACTATATCGCACTGTCGGCTGGAAGGTTTTGTGCTGCCAATATACATATGTATCAGATTTTATGCCTTTGAGAGTCTGTGATTTTCCTCTTATCATAGTGAATGTTTGGAGCAATATTGTCTTAACAATAGAGATGGGAGGGATAGCTCAGTCTAGCTCAGCTTCATCCTTGTTGCATGCTAGTTTACCTGCTGTCTGTCATCGTTATGTTTTGAATGAGATGTAATCTAGACAAAAGATAATCTAAACCCTTTATCCAGTTCATCGAGCAGGTTATCGGGTTCTTGCTGTCTATTTTGCAGAAATCTGCAAGTGCTTGAATGACAACTTTTTAATCACAAAAAATTACTCCCCCTTCTTGTGCTTTTAATGTACCGGAATTAAGCTGTAGTGCAGCTAGTTCTGTTTGTGTAGAGTTCAGTGAACTTTTTAACCTGACACTGATCGTCTGTGTACAAGGATTATTTCTATAAACCCCACAGGCTGCTGCGGTGCGGCTTGTTGACGATTAGACTGAGGCATCGAATGCAGTCACAATGCTTATGAGATCGCAGGCTTTTGATAGAGACAATTGTTTCCAGTGTGACAGGTTTAAGAGCAAAATTCTGATTACCTTCTTGTTGAATGATTGTGGTATAATACCTTTGAAAGGTGGGTATACACGGGGAGTGATAAACATGTTGAAAAGTTTATCTCTGAATGCCTGTGCCTCCCTCGTATTGCAGGCGATGAGTCACAATAACGTGGCTGAAGTATGTTGACCAAACCACACACTAGAAAATGAAGGGACGACGACGTTTCGGTCCGTCCTGAACCATTCTCAAGTCGATTGTGAGTGGTCCTCACAGTCGACATGAGAATGGTCCAGGATGGACCGAAACGTCGTCGTCTCTTCAATATCTAGTGTGTGGTTTGGTCAACACTTCTCACTGAAATACACGAGAACTCCCCATTAACACTGGGTGAAATTTCTACCTGTATCATCAGTGAACACGTTCATCGAGACACACACGTGAACGTCTTGCGTCATTCTAAGAAGCGTAGCTCTGGTAAACCAGGTTTACCTTCGTGTAAATGTGGACTGATAGACTTATTGGTTTATTAAATATCGTTCTCGCCTCTGAAGCCTGCTGTGTGTGTGGCCTGCATAACGTTCCGTGGACCGCTGTTCGCCGTTCACGTCGTTCATTGGGAAAATGTTTTTAGCGTTCACATCGTTCAGTAGCCCGCCGTTTGGCGTTCACATCGTTCAGTAGCCCGCCGTTTGGCGTTCACATCGTTCAGTAGCCCGCCGTTTGGCGTTCACATCGTTCAGTAGCCCGCCGTTTTGATCATCAAAAATTCAGCCTACAGCTGAGTTTATTATCCTCGCTGTTGGGGGCATCAGCGAACATTAAATACATAAATTAACGAGTCTGTTCATGATAGAAGACTAGACGCTAAGGGCTAGCTTCATTAAATATTGCAGGATTGATCGTGATTTTATTGGGAGTGGCGTAGTGGGGGGCGGGGGCGGTGGGAGAGGAAGGGGGGATGTCCAGTTCCCCCTTCCATTGGGAAATGAGGGACCAATGTCCCTCCTTTACAGAGTCTCATAGACGTTACCATTTGTATAACTGGAAACAGATTCGCATTCTAGGGGTAACCATTTGGTTAGAGTAATGGGGATAGTGTATAGTGATGACAGGAGGGAGTGGGTAGTGATGGTGTGATGAGGGGGGGTGTGGGCGGAAGACCGGGGGTGGGGTACAGTGTGTGGAGATGGGGGGGAGGGGTAGTGGGAGGGGAGTGGAAGGGATGACGTGTGTAGACAGGGAAGGTAGAGTGAGTAGACGGGATGGACGGTGTGGAGAGCCGTGGACGGGTGTTTGTGGGGGCCTGACCCGGGTAGCGGGTGGACCCGTGTACCGCCGGGTACTCCAACTAGTGTATCAATAAGGTAATCAGTCCCCAGACAAGAGAGATATACACCAGAGGTGTCACCCAGCAGCTTCACTGTGTATATACACTGAGAGTATACTTTAGGTCTAGACTATGTTCAGGACTACAGTATACTGGCTGGACGGTCAATAAGCTTCTGTGGTGGCCTTAATAACCCTGGGGAGCCGGTCCGCCGAGCGGACAGCACGTTGGACTTGTGATCCTGTGGTCCTGGGTTCGATCCCAGGCGCCGGCGAGAAACAATGGGCAGAGTTTCTTTCACCCTATGCCCCTGTTACCATGCAGTAAAATAGGTACCTGGGTGTTAGTCAGCTGTCACGGGCTGCTTCCTGGGGGTGGAGGCCTGGTCGAGCAACCCGTTCTCGCAAATTCGTAAAGTCAATATTGACTTATTAACTACGTGCATATGTGATATACTAAACATAATAGATACCCCTTAAAAAGATTCATAGAAAACACCGACCTTACCTAACCTTGTTAGTATCTTAAGATAAGCATCTTATTGCTTCGTAATTACAATTATTACTTAACCTATACCTATTATAGGTTAGGTAATAATTGTAATTACGAAGCAATAAGATGCTTATCTTAAGATACTAACAAGGTTAGGTAAGGTCGGTGTTTTCTATGAATCTTTTTATGGGTATCTATTATGTTAAGTATGTCACCTATGCACATATTTAATAAGTCAATATTGACTTATTAAATTTGCGAGAACGGGTTGAACCCGCACCGGGCCACGGGGACACTAAAGCCCCGAAATCATCTCAATATAACCCTTTAGAGATTGATAGGCCTTAAACCCCTCACCACCCCCCCCCCCCCTCCTCCCTCCCACCCTTCTGGAAATTTGGATATACTGCACAAATAATTTTGAAAATCCCATTACAAATGATCCATTAATATTAAAAATACTATTTGACCTAAGCTTAACCAAACATTACAATGTTGAGCTTACTATAACATCATACACAGCTTGAGCTTACAGCAGAGTAACGCATCATTACCCGTATATCAACACTTTATGCTACAACTTTAAGATGGCTCCAGCTTGATTCGACACTTTAACTCCTTTAACAGTTACCGACAGAAGCGTTAGTGTCTGTACGCAAGAGCATGTCCAAGACAAAAAAAATGTTAATTACCTACACATTTAGGGATAACACAAAAAAACTTCCCCAGTGCTGGTTCTGCCAACGTGATTGGCGGGTGCAACGGATCGCGTAATTCAGCGTTGTTGCTACGCCAGACAGTTGACCAGGAACGGGCGTAATGACGCTAGGATAAGACCCCCCAAGTTCAACGGGATAACATTCGCATGACGGAAGATCATGGTCCTTGATCAGGCCACAGGTTCGGAAACTTTTGCAGGAAATCGAATCATTATTAGTTTACGGAGCACCACGTAGTATGCAGCAGCAGCAACAGCAGCAGCAGCAGCAACAGCAACAGCAGCAGCAACAGCAGCAGCAACAGCAGCAGCAGCAGCAGCAGCAGCAGCAGCAACAGCAGCAGCAACAGCACAGCCACAAATCACTCCACACTTGCCCCAACTTTATGGTGGCAGCTGTTAAGACGAGGACTTGAAGAGCCACAGTGCAGCCGATGTAAGCCTGTTAGACGGCACAAGTGGAGACTGGCTCATGTGAACGAGCAGTTATGGCTCTTCTAGTGTAGTGTTTAGCTTTTATTTGGCAGTCGTTGCACAAGGCTCAGTAGGCACTCGCTGCGCTCAGGCGGTCACTGAAGTGTTATGATGAACAAACCACACTTCAGACAATGAAAAAACGACGACATTTCAGTCCGTCCTGTTCCATTATCGAGAGAGAGAGAGTGAGAGAGAGTGAGAGAGAGAGAGAGAGAGAGAGAGAGAGAGAGAGAGAGAGAGAGAGAGAGAGAGAGAGAGAGAGAGAGAGAGAGAATTAAAGATTAAGAGAGAAGATAAAAATAAGGTGTCTGTACACACACATTCATATAGTGTTAGCCACTCACACCAGAGACACATTTCTTACTTGCAAGAGGCGCTGCTCCTCAGGCCGGACAAGTGGGTGCTGTACGACTCCCCGTGAGCTTGCAGGGCCAGCGAGGGCCCGGGCGACACTGGCCGCTCAGTGAGGAACCACCACCATCTACTACGCATTGCCGGGTACCACCGACCCTCACCCCACATTCCTCTAGCAGCCTCCTGGGGCGTCGTGGCACCTCTGGCGATCTCCCATTGTTCAGAATCACTTCGGTCTGCAAAATCATCACCGCTCCGGTCGAAGACGTGGGCAGGACGCGATGATTTTTACCGACGGGTCGCCTTCTTAAGAAGCGTAACAGACTGGTGTTACCCAACCTGTCAGTCACCAGACACACGTGAATGACAGGTGGCTCTTGGGCCTAATTAACTATTTGTCGACTCCCAGTGAAGATATTCACTAAGTGTGCCATAACAGTCATGCTGATATTGCCAAGTATTTGGCCTACAATAATGTTGGGCCATTATTAGGGCTACGATATCATTGTAGGAGAAACATATACGTTTCTCCATTAGAGAAGAGTATGTAATGTCCTTTCTAGTAGGCCTTTTAACTGCTTTTCCCCTTTTCCCGCAACCCGTCCTCAGACCAGGTCCATTCCATCCAGGGTTCGACCCCACAGACGCATTCATCGATTTTTAACATGTTCAATCAAAAAAGTAATATTCTCAAATATCAATTAATATTGTTATATATTAGCATACTGTGCGTATTTAGTGCATAGGTTAGGGTAGATGTTTAGGTTCTGTTGGCGATTATTTGTTTCTGTAGTACGTGGGTTAAACATTTACAGCGTTGTGGTTCGAACAAAAGTCGTCAGTGAAGCACTTGTTCCGGAAGTGTTCGAACGTCATCAGTTGTGAGTCGTGTGTAAACCGTTTTTCATTCATTAACAGGGGGTTTGGCGGGTGGATGGAATGGACTTTTGGCCTTTGTTTATGAGGATGGGCTGCCACCTGGGAGCTGCCAGTGGTGTGTGACACTTCAGGCGACACACACCGTCATTGCCCCTCCCCCCCCCCCTCCAAGACAATAGCGGAGTCCAAGAGCTAATAGCCTTGTGGCTGAGTGGATAGCGCTCGAGGGTCGTAGTCCTAAGTCGTAGTCGATTCCTGGCCGAGGCAAAAACAAATGGGTAGAATTTCGTTCATCCTAATACTTCTGTTCACTTAGCAGTAAATAGGTACCTGGGAGTTAGACAGCTGCTACGGGCTGCTTCCTTGGGATGTGTGTGCGTGTGTTAGAGAAATGTATGTAGTAAATATAATAGAGGAAAAATTGATTAGTTAGAAAGGCACAGTAAATGCAAATAGAGGTCCCTTTCCCCTCTCACACACACACAAAAAAATGCACACACCGTCACTGTCTCTCTCACATACAAGTAAATCCAAAACCCAACAAAACCTGCTCCATAGCTACAACAGGAGAAAAACAGCAGGGAAGGAAAAAGGGGTGAAACTGAGAAAAGGGGAGAATAGGTACACAGATAATGACAATGAACTCAACAAGAGATTCCAGGTCTTCACAATAGAGCAAGGAGAAGTTTCTGTACTGAGAGAAGAGTCAGTAAACCAAGCAGCCTTGGAGGAATTTGAGCTTACCTGTGATGAGGACAAAAGGAATCTGTTGGAGCTGAATGTGACAAAAACTGTTGGGCCAACAGAATCTCCCCGTGGATACTTAAAGAGGGTGCAGAAGCACTAAGTGTGCCACTCTCTATGGTGTACAACAGGTCACTGGAAACAGGAGACCTACCAAAAAGCTGGAAGATCGTTAATGTAGTCCCAATATACAAAAAAGGTGACAGGCAAGACACCAGTTTCCCTAACTTGTATTCCATGCAAGGTAGAGATGATCGTGAGGAAATGACGCGTATAGCACCTAAAAAGAAAAAGCATTGTAACACGCAACCAGCATAGATTCAGGGATGGTAAATCGTGCATCACAGGCCTAGTAGAGTTCTATGACCAGGCGACAAAAAATAGGCAAGAATGAGAATGGTGGGCGGACTGCATTTTCTTAGACTGTCAGAAACCCTTTGACACAGTACCCCATAAAAGGTTGTTACGAAAGTTGGAGCAACAGGCAGGAGTAAAAGGTAAGGTGCTCCAGTGGATAAGGGAGTATCTAAGCAACAGGAAACCGTAAGTAACTGTTAGGAGGGGAGACATCCTAGTGGCGAGATGTCACCAGCGGAGTCCCACAGGGCTCTGTACTTGGACCCATCCTGTTTCTGATATATATGTAAACGATCTTCCAGTGAGTATAGCCTCATTCCTCTCAATGTTTGCTAATGAGGCAAAAATTCTGAGTAGAATCAAAACAGAAACTACAGGATGACCTGGACAAAGTGGGGTAATGGTCTAGAAAATGGCTACTAAAGTTCAACTCAGGATAGAATACACACACACACAAAACTAGGTAGGTACACACCACACACACACACACACACACACACACACACACACACACACACACACACACACACACACTGTGTGTATGTGACCAAAGAGCCAGAGCTCAAACCCAGCAAGCATAACTAGGTGAATACAGTGTTCTGGAAACTGGAACATATTGGAGAGATGACAGGTAAGCTTCTAACATGAGTGAGAGATTTTCTGATAAAAAAAATAGGGGTAGTAATTAGAGGCAATGTATCGGACTGGAGAAATGTCACAAGTGGAGTACCACAGGGTTCAGTTCTTGCACCGGTAATGTTCATTGTCTTCATAAACGAACTTCCAGATGGAATACTGAATTATATGAACATGTTTGCTGATGATGCTAAGATAATAGGGAAGATAAGTAACTAAGTTGATTGTCATGCCCTTCAAGAATACCTGGACAATAAGTATATGGAGCACCACTTGGCAAATGGAGTTTAATGTAAATGAATGTTATGTTATGGAATGTGGAATAGGAGAACATAGACCCCACACAACCTATAAATTATGTGAGAAATCTTTAAAAAATTCTGATAAAGAAAGAAATCTAGGGGTAATTCTAGATAGAAAACTGTCACCTGAGGACCACATAAAGATCATTGTGCGAGGAGACTACCTTGAGGTGCTTCCGGGGCTTAGCGTCCCCGCGGCCCGGTCGTCGACCAGGCCTCCTCGTTGCTGGACTTGTCAACCAAGCTGTTGGACGCGGCTGCTCTCAGCCTGACGTACGAATCACACCCTGGTTGATCAGGTAAAATGTATATACCGCTGCGGACAGGATTCGAACCTGTGCGGGCAAAGCCCAATGGATTTCAAGTCCATCTCCTTAACCACTCGGACACCGCAGCTCTGTACGCTACACTTTCTTACTTCGGAATTCCATTTAAATACATGGATGGCGAAATATTAAAGAAAATGTTCATGACTTTTGTTACGCCAAAGCTAGAATATGCAGCGGTTGTATGGTGCCCATATCTTAAGAAGCACATTAACAAACTGGAAAAGGTGCAAAGACATGCTACTAGGTGGCTCCCAGAACTGATGGACAAGAGCTACGAGGAGAGGTTAGAGGCATTAAAAGTGCTAAAACAAAAAGATAGAAGAAAAAGAGGTGATATGATCACTACGTACAAAATAATAACAGGAATCGATAAATTGACAGGGAAAAATTCCTGATACCTGGAATTTCAAGAACAAGAGGTCATATATTTAAACTATCTAAAAAAAGATGTCGAAAAAATATAAGAAAATTCACTTTCACTGAGTGGTAGGCGGTTGGAACAAGTTAGGGGAGGTGGTGGTGGAGGCCAAGACCGTCAGTAATTTCAAAGCGTTATATGACAAAGAGTGCTGGGAAGACGGGACACCATGAGCGTAGCTCTCATCCAACATTTCAACACACACACACACACACACACGCACACACACACACACACACACACACACACACACACACACACACACACACTATGCTCTGTCAGCTTCACATATTTTCTCCTCACAAAATACATACAGGCAAATAAGTTGAGGAGATGCAAGAGTGTGTCATCACGTAAGGCTCTAGGGTAAGTGTCTCGTGGGGCTTCTTCCACCACTGTTTCTATCATACAGTAGTTCCTAAACCTGTGGTGTTTCATTCCTCCACGTTCTCACCTGTGGATTTCCCCTACAATCACGTTCTCACCTGTGGATTTCCCCTACAATCACGTTCTCACCTGTGGATTTCCCCTACAACCACGTTCTCACCTGTGGATTTCCCCTACAACCACGTTCTCACCTGTCAGCCTCCGACAATGGGTCGCTGTAGTGTAGTCGGAGATTATCTTACACGTATATTTATATACGTGTAAAATAATCTTATGTCTTATACGTGTCAGATAATCGATTATAAATGTGTATGTATATACACACGTGTTTACATGTATAGTAACAATACACAATGTGGGTGTATAATACTCACAAGCATTGAATCTGATTCTGATGTTGACCAATCCACACACTAGAAAATGAAGGGACGACGACGTTTCGGTCCGTCCTAGACCATTCTCAAGTCAGGTCAACATTTTTCAGCCATGTTATTGTGACTCCTCATCTGATTCTGATGATTATCTAGCCTTACAACTAGAATCTGAAATATAATTTATATTGAAGAATTATACCAGATGATATCAATTATCAGCATCTGGTATAGAGAGAATTTCCAACCGCCTATAGTGTTATAGTCGCTTCGTTAAGAACATAAACATAAGAACAAAGGTAACTGCAGAAGGCCTATTGGCCCATACGAGGCAGCTCATATTCTATAACCACCCAATCCCACTCATATACTTGTCCAACCCGCGCTTGAAACAATCGAGGGACAAGTTACTCTACAAGTTGTTTCAAGCACCAGCCTGCTCACTCCTCGGCCGCATCTAAGATATCTACCAGGATACACTGGGACTTATGTACACAATACACACAGAAATCACAATAGCGTGATATATTAAATGAACAAATCCACAAGGGCCGTGATGAGAGCTTGAACCTAACCGCATAGGATGTTCCCAGACGGGCCTTAGTCAACTGCGCCACAACATGGTCAAGAGAATTGCAACCTGGAGTGCTACTGCCCTCACAAGGATCCCGAAGCGTAACCGGGTTTT